CATTTGGTTGGCATGTTGCACCGGAGCAGATGGGCACGAGACAGTCCTGCCAGGAAAACAGTATGTGCATCGTGTTAGGAGTTTAGGGGGTGGCTTACCGTCCCAGAATTCCAGCTGAGAAGTTTGGATCATATCATTCTGTGCTTGGGAAAAAAAAAAATGTGGCTACTCCAACTCTGCCTCTTTCTCTTTTTCTAGGATTTATTCATGAGTAGGGGAAAAAACACATTTTGTTGAAGGAAATTGAGATAAAAATAATCCACGCTTAAAACTTTACTGTTAGTATTGAATTTTTCCAGATAACATTTCTCACTGCCACAGAACCCTTGTTTTCAAAGGAAAAATGATGGAGAGCCTCAGTAGACAGCAAAATTTAAGACTCAGGGAGACTGGGAGGAGGGGAAGGTGGCCTCACCTTTGAGTCCTGTGTATTTTGGAAGAACATGCTTTAAAAGCTGCCAAAAGATGGATCCTGTGAAACTGAAAGTGCAAGGATCCCCATTATATTCTTATCTAGCACAGCCAAGGAAGCTTGTGGGTAGTGTATGAAGAATTAGTTCTTGAGCTGGGGCAGGTGCTCCCAAGGGGGTGTGACAGGAGAAAGCCCATAGTCTGGTCCTGGTTAAGAGTTAACAGTGAGGAGGGTTAACAGTGTTGACTGAGCCTGAACTCTACAATAAAGCCTCCAAGCTATGGCCTAAGCAGAGTTGAAAGCTGAGTGTTCTAGGTTCTATCTCAACCCAGTGGCTCATGGGACAATAAAATCAAGCGTCAGATGCCCTGTCATGTTCCTGCAATAATGGGCCATTCTTGCCAACCTGAACAGGTTGTATACCTGATGCCCCAGAGTTTGCAACCTGCCCAATGTGGTTTGTTTGGCTTTTTCAGTCTATGACGCAATATGATATGACATGGCATGACATGACATGATATGACATGACATGATGCGTGATATGATACAATTTATATACAAAATAACATGTATACAAAATAGTATGTACATATAAAATAAAATGCACATGTTTGTGTATAGACACAGATGCATAATGTGTATGTATATATCCAACATGTTTTTTAATATAGAAAGTCCATGTTAAAAATGTGAAAAATGAGTGCAGGTCCTCCCTGTCACACTGAAGCAGCAGACCAAGGCATGGCTACTCCCTGCGAGGGGCAAACACTCTCCAGTTTGCCTCCCCAAGACCGTTTCATTCATCGCTTGTATGATGAGGATGAAATAAAATAATATAAGGAAATGACTTGAAAATATATCTGGCGCTTAGTAGGTGTGCAGGAAGTGGTAGCTATGATCATTTATGTAATTGTCTAGCCAGGCAAGACATTTTGAATTTTATAAACCACTTGAGAATTTATACCGCCCACATATCAGACACTCTCTATGGTCCTGGTACGTTTATCAGTAGCTTTTCAAAATAGGGAAGTAAAAATCCGTGCACTTTTAGAGGACAAATAATGACTGCATTTTTTTTTTTAAATTCATTCCTGAGGTTTTATGGAAGAAATACATATAGGGGAGAATTGACAGGGGACCATTTACATGTCCTTAGAACTGTGTTCTGTTAGAGGTTAGCACAGCGTCGACTGCTACCAAGTCTTCCAGGAGATTAGCTGAAGGGTCTCCCTGGTGGTGCAAGGGGTTAAGAGGAGCACAGGGGGCTGTGGTGATGGTGCACGGGTGCACTGGTGAAGGAAACTCTATGGGGACTACACCAGAGGGGGTGGGGGGAGCAAATATTGTTTACAAATGAACAATGACATAAAAAAATTTTAAAAATTAATATTAAATTTTTTTTTAATACAAAAAAAAAAGACAGAGCACTATGGAGCTAACGGCAGCTGGAGCTACCCACATGGTGCAGCAGACCTCTCCTGTCTCACCCACTGCTCCCCTCAGCAGTGTTTCCAGTCTGTCTGCCTGTTCTGTTCCCCACACTGTCTCTGGTGAATTCTCTCACCCCCCCCCAACTCTGGCCTGTACCCCGGTTCTGGTACGCATAAATAAATAAATCTTTAAAAAAAAAAAAAAAGAGCTTAGCCGAGGCCTGAGTGGGATGAAAATGCTAAGGAAGATGTTTAATCTATCAAAGGTGGCCCAGCAGCCTGAGCCACGTGACGTATGGCCACCGCGCTAGTGTGCAATTAAATAGCAAAGGCCGCCAGCACCCACGGCCATGCTGTATGATGAAGACTAAAGCATTTCCAGGCCAATCCACACAGTGACCAAAAGGTAATGTCTTTGCGTGAATAAAATACAGCAAAACCAGGCCAGGAAGGGGTGTCTCCCTGCATACACCTACTCAATCAACTCAAATACTTTGGGATTTAAGCATGAAGATAGACGGGAACGGCAAGTGCAAGGGGTGTGGTGTGGCTAAGAGTGAGTCTCCATAGGTGGCTGAGAGCCTGCTGGGTGATGAATGGGGTGAGGCCGAATGGTCGAGAGATTGATGTTCAAATTGATAGAAATGCTTAAGCAGTTGCCTTTTTAAACATCAATACCAGACCTCTGGATTTGTACTTTTTCTTGTTAACCCTTTAAATTTGTTGGCTGGATGTTTAAAGTATGTTAAAAAAAATTCAATTGCTTTTTGGGGATAAACTGAATTACTTTCTTAATGACTGTTTTGCTTTGTGATTGCGATGTATGCTGTATTGTTTTGTAGTTGTGTGTCCTGTTGATATGGAATATGACTTTGATAATGAATACTAGTTCCTGGGAAAAAAAATAAAAAATAAGTCTAGGCATGTAGCAATTAAAAATATCTCCATGCACAGTTATTTTTTTAACTTCCAAGTTAAGCATGAACGTGAACATATCTTGTAAGTTAAATGTGTCTGAATAGTGAGGTATGAATATTGTTTCTCTACATAGAAATATATCCAGTACTTTAAGGGGAAGGCATCAGGTATTAAAAACAAAATCAGGCAGAGGCAATTCCTTTGCGAACCCTTGAAGATTATTTGTTCCTAAAAACAGAAGATTTACTAGTGGGACTGCTTCATTGGGGACCAAATGTAAGGTGAACTTTCTCATATTCTCCCAAACAGTGGTAAAGTCCCCCAAACCACCTTACTGGAGGACCTGGAGGCTGGGGAGAGGGAAAGTTGGTGGGATTGACACAGTGGCCAGGAAGGAAGAGAGAATTACAAGTTGTCTGTTGGAAATGGAAGAAAATCAAGCTAGACTTCCATTCCCAGACAACCCCAACCCCCAGATCTCTGCCCACGAACACACCCCCACACACAAACACACACACACACCCCACACCACACCCCACTTGTTCCACTGCTCAGGGAATGATCTGCAGCCACTTTGTTCCTTCCCATCCTCAGCACACTGTGTGTGATCTCTTAAAGATCTTCAAGTTACTCACCCCACATGTCTGTAGCTGAATGCTGTCTCAACAGAGTGGGGCCTGTGAGAGGGAACAGTAGGACCAGGAAATCCATCAGCCAGTCTGAGTTGTCTTTGCTGAGACATCAGGCAACAGGTTGCAGTATTATAATCTAGAGAAGTGAAGCAAGCTAATAAACTTCACTACAAACTTTTATGCTTCTATCTTTCATTCCCAGTTGAAGGTGAGTCTTAATAATTTTTATAGCCCCTAAGCTAACTCAATGCTGTTCAATAGTATGTGTTCGGTGAGATGTTTGAGTGATTGTGCAAATACAATTTGGGAGCCCTTGGGTGGCTGCTTTCAAAAAGCATTAAAGTATCCCATACATGCCAATCTTTCTCAACTCCCTCACCGTGATCCTCTTCCCCTGTGTCAATTCTAATCACCCTAGCTTTCTTCACTACTATATATTCTTTTTGGGGTCTCATTCAGTCCATTGGCTTTAAGCACTGTCTACCTGCTCTTGACCCCCATTATTATACTTCAGCTTTTGCCTCTCTGCTGAACTCCAGATACATGTATCCAACTGCCCACTGGAAATCTTTGCTTAGACCTTAAACATCTGTCTTAAATTTAACAACGTCAATCAGATCTCAGATTGTCCCACATCCCAAAATTCCATGCATATCCGTCTAAGGCAGTGTCCTCCATGTCTAGTTTGTAAATGGTTAAAAACCTGGGTGTGTCCTTGATGCTTTTCTTTTCCTACTACCAACACTAAATCCATGAAAATGCCCTTCTGTCTCCATCACCACTTTTTTCTGATTCTACTGCTACATTCCTAGTTTGGGTTGGCTGACAGGAGAGCAGGCAGGTACCCCAGACCACACTGTGAGAGGCAGAAAGGGTCTGAAGAGTTTGTTCCCTATCATCTCCCTTCAAAAAGGGGGCAAAGAGCACCCTTTCTTGGATTGAGATCTGGATATACATGAAAAATTTCATGTAGAAATCATGTCATTTCAGTCTTTTAAATGAAAAGAAACAAAGAATAAGTTCCAGAAGTACTAAATGTTTGCCAGCTCTAAAATCACCACCACCATCATCACCCTTGTGATGTACACAAACAAGACTGACAGTTGAGGTCTCCCTGGTGGCTCAAGGGGTTAAGACACAGTACTATGAAGCTATCCCCAGCCACTGCAGCACGAGTTCAATCCCTGGCCAGGGAGGTGATCCACATGGCGCGGCAGACCTCTCCTGTCTCGCCCGCTGCTCCCCTCAGCAGTGTATTTCAGTCAATCCATCTGTTCTGTTCCCCACTCTGTCTCTGGCGAATCCTCTAACCCCCATACCTCTGGCCTGTACCCCAGTTCTTACATCATAAATAAATAAATCTTTAAAAAAAAATGTAATTTTCAAAGTCAGCATTACAGGCATCTGTGATGTCACTGTCATTTTGATATTAGAAAAACCGCATTTGATGAAAGTCCTTTGACCTACCTTCATCTGTGCTCCAGGTATTAGTAACTTAATTGCCAGAAACATAAATATAAATATTTTTTCCAGTTATCACTATATAGATTGGAGAATTGGTAAGCATTTCTATCACACATTAGTAATTATTTAATGATAGCCACATAAAGGCTTTCAATTATATAGGAACAGTGATAATAATTATAGAGACCCATACACAGCTGAAAAAACATTTATTGGTTTAGAAAAAAATTATTATATTTTTTAAAAATGAATTCTTTCTGCCAGTTGATGACTCACATGATATTTTCAACAGTTATACAGCATATGCAGGCTTCCGTTTTTACACTTATTGGAGAGTGCTTGTTTGTGAAATTAGAATTTTTTCTATTCTTTTTTGTGACACTAAGACTTTAATTTATTTTTCTTATTTCTTCAGTACCGTGATATGCCTACTGAGTCTAAAAAGACTAGTAAAAAGAAAACAGGAGTTGATTTTGCCTGTCGAAATTTAGTTTCAAATTGACATTGTGGAACAGCAGAATTAAGTGTTAATATTCCTGTGTGTTCATCTCGACTATAATGTTGACATTCAGATTTCTATGATTTTAATATAGTTTCACCAATATTTGTAAAATCTAGATGAAGCTGCATTCTAGTATTTATACAATATCTTTTAAAAGTTTCCTTTGGTTATATAACTTACACTAAAATTACAATAAATAATTCAACAGAAAAGACCATCGTCTTTTTTAAATTACTGAAAATTAAGAAGCTATCCTTAGGTGAAGCTGAAGTTGAGTCAAGTGAATTCAAGACATCATTACAATGTCAACAGCATCATCTTCCCACAACTTCTTTTTTTTCTGAAAAGTTAAAAGGGACACATTTATCTTTACAAGACTGTTTACCATCTTTAGCTTAAGACAAAAGAATAATACCAAAACAACCTCATGAAATTAGGAGATTTTTGTATTACCTTTCAAGATTTGGGTTCAAGGAGTGGGAGATGGAGAATTAAGACTGGTCAATGAGATTAGTGTTTCAAAAATAAGAGAGAGAGAGAGAGAGTCCAATTAGAAGTATCCTGGGGTTATTAGCGATAACAGTGCTCATATCCAATTAAGATGAAAACCATTTTACCAGCTTAATGTGCCACCTCTGGCAGTGTGGGTTTATTAGTTTTATCAGACTTGAGAACTGAAACTTGAAATGATACGTATGCTGGGTACCAAAGCGATGCCGTTAAGACTTAGAGATAATTGGTATAAAAATGAGATGCCTCAAAAGTTGTTGATTAACAAGCATTGTGGATTGGGGGGAAGGAAAGAAATGAGTCATTTCAGACAATGTCTGGATGACATTCTAAAGACAAGAAGTCATCTTGACCTTTAATGTCCAAAAATGCAGGAATAGGACATTCCTATAGGACAAGACAGCCTTCAAGATCCTTGATGCACCTTCTCTATAAATACTCAAATGCACAAAAGCAATTGTTAGTGCTGAATGTCAGGCTTCTGTTTTCCCTTTCAGATTAAAGGATATAATAACTAATGATTGGTATTAATAATTAATAAGAAAATCTCTTGTATTATCACCAAGCTTTTCAACATAGACTCGCTAACCAATAAGGCTGATTTTCATTAATTAAGTTTTACTCCTTTATGTTTTCGAACAATCAAGCTAAAAAAAATCTTTACATTTATATACCATCCATCTGAGTACCAGAGAATGATTAAAAGCAAACAAATACACACACAATACAGCTCCCCACTTTGGCAGCAATAAAATCACTGTTGCGTTACATCAATAGACATCTCCTTGACTAATAAAATTCTTGTCACTCATTTCCGAAGCAGGTGGGGGAAAACCTTCATTCTGCAGGCACAGCATTCTGGATGCTTATCTTTGGTAAAATATTCAGTACACGCCCAGGAATGTTTAATGGAAATTGTCAGGGAGATGGCCCTGCAAAAAGCCAGCACTGGTGACTGTTGCTTGACCCAGGAGTTCCTTCTAGGAAGCATTGCCACTGCTTCCTCTACTAAAGTGTCTGAGCCCATGTATGAAAGGCCTATTCCATAATACTGAAGGATGAACATGACAGGCTGGAGACAAGTGCACCCCACTGGCCCACTCTGGGGGTAGGAGGATGGCATGACCAAGTAAAGAAACACAGGCACTCTCACCTGGTTTATGAGACAATGGAATCTTTCCTTTCATGGAAAAATATCAGGTTCATAAGGTGACCCTGGTTTGCGTAGCCAATTCATCCAGAAAGTTCTAATTCTGTTAGTTTCATGTGACTCTTTCCATTTTATACAGGAGAGAACATACGATTATATTGACAACTTGTATGTTTGTATCAGCCAAACAGAAAACCAAAGGTTCTGAATAAATTTAAGTTGGCACAGGTCACATGTGGCTTTTATATAAAACCAAGTAAAAAATAAGATAGAGAAAAGTGATGAAGATTTTTTTCAAGTGTGTGTGTGTGTGTGTGTGTGTGTGTGTGTGTGTTTCTCCTGGGTTTTTCTGAACATCGCATCCTATGGTCAAGAGCAATTATTAGCAGTTGGTAGTACTCAAAGGACATTATTGACATGGTTTGTTGGAGAGCATGCATCATAAATGTTTCTAAAGATATATGTTGTCCTTGGGTGCACTTGCCAGCTAACTTTCTAGATAAATGACATGCTCAAGATGGCATTAGTATTACTGAAAATGGGGTTTAATAAATCATTGGCTTAACCATGTGTACATATTTTAGTTTATATAAAAAAATCATTGAGTTTTGCATTATTTAACAGTTATAGTTGTACTTACAATACTAGGAGTTAGCCATGTGTTCTAGATGATAGAATTGACTGTAGTTATATGGTAGAGACTTAATAGAATGAGGGATAATGTTCATTAAACTGAGCAGCAGCATCATTTGATGCCTGCACCAGTACACTTAAGCTCTATTACAGTGAAAGTAAATTCCTGAAAAGTTTTACAAGATCCCAGATCTAAAGTATGAGGGCCTCATATTGTACTCCTGTCCATTCCCCTTCTAAATAGAATGAAAGAGGGTGGAAAATGGAACAAGAATTGCTTGTTATTAAAAACAGGAATTCGTACTATAAAAAAGTATTTCACACAAATACACTTGAAGTGATGAGGATAAATTTGGAAAGCACACAATATATTACAGTTCTTTAGGATATGGTTTCAATTTACCCAAAAGTATGACTGTAAAGAAAATCTAAAAACATTCACTCAGGGACATATTCTTTGTGGAAACTACAAATAGTTCATTTTCACTTACCTGATTTTACTCCACTTGAAGAAAATAGATAACATTTTAATAAGTATTCTTCCAGAAACTTTGTTACCTAAAAACACACAAAAAAATGCCAAAGCAAAGATAAGAAAAGCAAAAACTATATTTACAAAGTTGATATATCTAAAATATACAAAGAACTCATCTGACTCAAGAGCCAAAGATGTCAACAATAATCCAATTAAAAATGGACAGAGAGGGCCTCCCTGGTGGCACAGGCGGTTGAGCACCACACTGTGAAGCTGTCCACAGCCTCTGCAGCTCGGGTTCAATCCCTGCCGGCCTGCGAGAATCCCACATGGTGAGGCAGACCTCTCCTGTCTCACCCGCTGCTCCCCTCAGCAGTGTATTTCATCAGTCTGTCTGTTCTGTTCCCTGCTCTGCCTCTGGTGAATCCTCTCACCCTCCTTCGCATCTGGTCTGTATCCCGGTTCTTGTATAAATAAATAAATCTTTAAAAAAAATGGACAGAGAAACTGAATAGACATTATTCCAAAGAAAATATTTAAGAAGCCAATAGGTACCTGAAACAGTTTAGGGAAATACATGATCAATAGGGAAATATAAATCCAAACCACAGTAAGCTATCACCTCACACCTGTTAAAGAAGCTATTATCAAAAACAAAAGAGATGTGTTAATGAGTATTTGAAAAAAAGGAAGACATTTTTCACTATAAGCAGGAATCCAAATTGACACAGCCACTATGGAAAACAGTCTGGACTATCCTCAAAAATTAAAAATAGAGCAATCCTATGTCCGAGAAATCCCACCTGTGAGTATATAACCAAATGGAAACAGAATCTGAAAGCAATATCTGCACACCTATGTTTATTATAGAATTATTTACAATATAAAGATAGGGAAACAACCTAAGTATCTATCAACAGATGAATGAATGAACTTGGAATATTATTCGGCCATGAGAAAGAAGGAAATCCTGCCATTTGCAAAAATAGAGATGATCCTTGAGGACATAAAGCTAAGTGACATAAGTCAGACAGAGAAAGACAAATACTGTATGTTATCACTCATATGTAGATTCTAGAACAGCTGAAAGCATAGAAACAGAGACTAGAATGGTCATTCACAGGCACTGGGGAATGGCAGAAAGGAAGATATTGGTCAAAGCATACAAACTTCTAGCTATACGATGAATAAAATCTGGGGATCCAATGAAGAGCATGATGATTATTATTAATAATATTGTATTGTACTGGGAACTGCTAAGAAAGTAGATCTTATATGTCACCACCCAAAAAAATAAGAGAAAGAAATGGTTATGAGGGCCATATAGTCTGTGGGTTTGTTGTTGACCTAAAAATAAACTGTTATGTGCTGATAAGGTATATTTACCAAGGAACATACATTATTGGAGAAGTTCCATCAACTGTGCAAAATTATAGGAAAGACAATTTTTTTAATGACTCTTAGTTTTAATCATTTAATTATCTTAGTTACAAAATTTGATTTTATTTGGATATTTCTGTAATTATCAAAAACATTTTAATTTTTTAGATATTAAAAATAACCCTAGTACTGCCCCTTGTGGCTTTTATAATTTAATATTTAAATTGAATTTAAACATCTTAATTGTTAGGCAGCTTGCGGTACAAACTTCAACTAACCATTTTTTAAACTAGAAAATATTAAAATATGATTTTTTTCTGTATTTATTTTTTGTCTCAAAATATAGGTGCAAGCAATAGTAATTATGGGGCATAAATGTTCTGTTATTGATAATAATGGCTCTTCTTTGAAAACTCTATTACTCTCTTTAAGAACACATTTAAAAGACCTACCTATACAAAAAATGGGCAGAAGAGCTAAAAAGAAACTTCTCTGAAGAGGAAATGCAAATGGCCAACAGGCATACGAAAAAATGCTCAACATCACTTGTAATCAGGGAAATGCAAATCAAAACTACCATGAGATACCATCTTACACCAGTGAGAATGGCACATATTAAAAAAGCTAGCAACAACAAATGTTGGCGAGGTTGTGGAGAAAAAGGGACTCTCCTGCACTGCTGGTGGGAGTGCAAACTGGTCCAACCACTGTGGAGAGCTGTGTGGAGATTTCTGGACCTACTAAACATAGAGCTTCCATAGGATCCAGCAATTCCACTCCTAGGTATTTACCTAAAGGACACAGAAACAGTAATTCCAAAGCACCTGCACCCCTATGTTTATAGCAGCACTATTTACAATAGCTAAGCTTTGGAAACAACCCAGATGCCCAAAAATAGATGTGGTACATATACACCATGGAATATTACTCAGCAATCAAAAAAGATAAACACATGCCGTTTGCAGCAACGTGGATGGAGCTGGAAGGGATCATGCTCAGCGAAATAAGTCAGAAAGAAAAAGAAAAATACCAGATGGTTTCACTCATAAAAGGAATTTAGAAAACCTAAATAAGAGACCAGGGAAAAGACTAATCAATACAAAGTAAAAATCAAAATCAACAAGCAACTATAAACCAGAGACACACTGGGGTGGGGGAGGGGCAGGGAAAGGAAGGACTAGAGTCAAAATAAGGGGGGGTGCAATTGTATGGGGAATATAACCAAAATGAAAATGCATACATTGTGCAAAGATGAAAAAAGATGTAAGAATTATATAAAATAAAATGTTTAAATAAAAAAAAGAAAATACCTGATTTGACGAAAATAAATGACATCTTACATATGTTATAAATAAATAAATAAGCAAAAGACCTATCTATAAATGCACAATCTCTAAGAAGAGGGATTGATGACAAAAGATGTAAACATCTGAGGTGGGACATTTTCTGATGATTATTAATGTCCCACTGTTATGATATATGGACAATATTCTTCCTACTTCATCTGTGATTTGGGGTCCCCACAGCTGACAGTCCATCCAGATGAGATCACAATCTGTGCTTGTGTGGCAGATGGAAACAAGGGTCACCGATTTCCCCCCAAATTAGCCTGTAGCTGCCAAAATACCTTTATGATTGATTCAATTTATAGGAAATTGTCCTCTCCTCTAGCCAGTAAGATCTTCTTCCCATTGCCTTTTCTTTTTTTAAAGATAAGAAAAAAAGGGGGTAATAAATTAATGACTTTTTGAAAAGCCTAAACAGAAACCTAAACATTTGTGAATCAAATGGGATTTTATGAGAAAGCACAGACTGCCCAGCTTCGTTTTCATTAAAGAGGAAAGTATTTATGTGCCTAGTAAAGGCTTGCAAAACAAGTAAGCAACATTGACTTAAAGTTAGGGAATAATTAATCTGTAAATCATTATTGATTAAGCTGTGAATTCAAGAAGGCATCTAAACTTAAGAAAATTTTTGATCCAATTTTTTGTTTTTCATTTGTCAAATAAATTCAGTTCAACTAGTAGTTACTGAATATCCATCCAATGTAGGGTGCTCTAGAATGGTGAAAAATATTTTGATTTCCTCTTTGGGTCTTTGACCTGCTTGCCTGGGAACAGTTTTCCTAAGTAACACCAAGGTTCTTTTCCAAGGCAGAAGTCTAGGTCATTCCCCTGTAGAACATTTTGTACTGTGGCAGGTGCACATACCATATATTTAGGGCCTTAGCAGAATTCCCTTTCCTGGGAGAGGAATTTCCTCCAGTCAGAGAAGTAGAGTTGTTGTTTTTAGGTAAATGGATGGATGGATGAAGGGACGGATGGAATTATGGATGGATGGAGGATGGATGGATGGGTGGATCGATGGATGGACAGACAGATGGATGGATGGACAGATGATAAATCAATCAGACAGAATAGTAGTAGAAGTCAGGAGTCTCCATTCATAAAACTGGTAAATCTCCATTTGTGAAGCAGTCCAGACCCACATCATCTCCTAAAATCTCCCAGATGCCAGGCCTTGGAGAACCAAGTGGAACAAGACCTCAGTGCACCCTCGGGCCTTCATGGAGAAAACATCCAGGGCAGGAGCCTGGAAGTGTCACCTCTGGCTTTGCCTTATCTGTTAAAGCAGAATCTAGGATGATTTTTTTTTTAAACTGCAGAAGAAAAGTTGACATTTTTTTCCCTCCTCATTTTATCCCAACGAGATATTATTGGTTTATAACACTCTATGGCTTAGGGGATCAGGTTCACACCTCGTCATATGAATGTCACCATCCAAGTACCCACAGTCTTTCCCCATATACTAGCATGTCGCCTCCCCCTTTTACCCACTCCACCTCCATGCCCTCTAGCTTAGACTCTGCAGTCATATTTCTATTTTACATAAGAGTTAAGAGGACTATATGAGGCAACAGTAGGTGATAAGCAAATCGTATGTACATCTGGCTTTGTTTTCACAATAGGTAGCAACTCAATAAATACATGAAACGTGTTCACACTAATTTATTTATTAACTTTTTAGTAAAATTCAGTAGCAGGTCTATGAGTTAGGAGAAATGCTTAGACTTTAAGATCAACATCTTTAGTAATGCCTTCATTCCTTTAGTAATGCAGTCCCTTTCATAAGACTTTTTAAAATAAAAAAGCACATATTTAAAATAAAAAGCATATATTTAGAAAGAAGAAAATCTAATTTTTCTTGTGCATCTTTTACATCTCTAACAATCTGCAATATGTCTGCATCCTTTCACTGTTTTTATTCAGCCTTAACTGAAGTTTTATTATAGGCCAGGCTCTGGGTCATCTATGGACTGCTTATTTTATCCGCCCAGCAACTCTGTGAATCAGTACCATTCTCACTTCACAGAGGAGCTAACTCTGATTTAGAAAGACAAGGGACTTGTCCAAGGTCACGTGATTGGTCCACTTGGAGGCTGCCAAGCTTCAGGCCTCCCTTCTTTACTGCCACTGTATTGCAGTAACAGAGGTTTTGATGCTTTGTCTCTAGGAATCCTTGCACTCACCCATGGTCCAAGTATAGCTAGTCTCATAAAATATAAATGAGGACACAGAAGCAAATCATATCATGGGTAAGTGCTGGAATTCTGACCACAAAGCCCCTTCCCTCTCCATGATGCTTCTCAGGGAAATTAAATATTAATAACAGTCTGTTTAAAATACTAACCTCTGGTATTTCTCCATATATTAGGGTTTTGAGCATATTTTAAGGGCATCTGTTGATATTTCATACAGGCTTTTTTCCCTTCAAGTCATACCAGTGCTTCCTGGTGGTTTTTTAGTCCATCCAAATTAAATCACAGCAGCTGTGGCCTCTTCCTTTTCTAAGGAGTCCCTCTTGACTTACAACCACCACTGTGACATGGGCCCCAGGGCAAGGCTTGCCCACCTTCAGCAACTTGAGGGCTGCGTTCAGAGCTCAGGGTTCTCTGAACCCAGCTGTGCAGGACTGCACACAGGAACCCCAAGCAGATACTGTTGTAAAACATAGGCACGTTCAGGAACCAGGAATCGCAGTGGAATCCACTTGAAACACACTTTAGAAGAAAATATCTACCCCTGTCTTGTTTTCATTTGGTAAGCATGAAGTTTTTTAACAAATACACTTCAAAAATATATTTGCACTTGAATAAAAGAAAAAAAAGATGAAGAAAACATTTCTGATAGGCTGTGATGGCCAACTTTTGCCATCCTGATTTACCTAAGACACGATTTATCTTCCAGATCTTTAGAGGAATTTTTTTTTACTTCTAAAGTTATCTTCTTATACAATACTTTGAAAACTACCAGAAACAATAAATTATATTACCCAGACTATGAAAGTACTAAAATGTAGTAAAAAATAAGATTTTAAAATCAGGTTTTTAAAAATTGATTTACTTATAAACATTAAATACTTTGTCTTATTTCTTATGCAAAACGATTAAATATCGCTGAAAAATAAAATCTGACCGTAAGACTAAACCATAATACCTCCCAGGATCAAGTCTGACCCAATAACAATTTCAGCATGTAGCTTTGGTCAAAGTTTATGGCTGGTTTTATCTCATTGAATGTGTACGGTGGCGGGGAGAGGGTGGCTGGGGACTAATAGGTACAATCTAATCTGCGATTTGCTTTTGTATGAAATCAAAAGTGCTTCCAAACGCTGTGGCTGGAGAGTTAGAAAGTTACTCCTGTCACGACAATCCAACCATTTTTTTTTTTTTCAATCGGCAAGATTATTTTCCAGGGAAAAACTATCTAAGGAGAACTCTAATGTGATAGATCATCCCCCTTCCTACCATCCTGAATATTTAACATAAGAGAAAAGTCCTGCTCTATTTTTCAGCTGGAATCCCAGCAGCTTCTGTTTCTAACCTGGGAAGAATGTGCTCGGGTCTATTGTTAGACAGCCCAGCACTGATCCTTGCTTTTACATCATAATGAAGGATGCTTCTTTAGTGGATTATCTTGAGAAGGGATTAACTCCTTCAAGTCTTCTAGGGGGCAAGGTGTTTTCAGCCCTAAATACACACCAATTGCCTGCTTAACTTTTCATCTTATTTTGAAAACTGCCCAGCTGGAATTCAAATTCTTTTCCATAGTGCTGAATTTTATTAGTAGCAAAGTTGGAGTTGGGGGCAGCAGATGCTAAATATAAGCACTGTTCTTTTAATCTCTTGGGGCCAACGGTTTCAGATATTTCACTGAGACAGGCACGTCAGGGTAAGACTCAATCTAAACTTTGCTGCAAACTCTGCCAGCGCTTAAATCCTCGCCCCATCTCCCAGGCCATGACTTAACCCTCCAACACCATACTTTAACCAGAACTCCGCCTGAAGGTCCGTTTGTCTGCAAGGCTCTGTTGCCTTAGCTTTTAACATTACTATCGACATTCTTTTTTAAGTCACACTCAGAGAAGAATTTAAATGTCCAGTAAACACACACACACTTGAAAAGAGAACTAATTGCTCTATAATTTATAATCAAGTGGTTTCATTCGCTTCTGCTTCTTTATCTTAATAACCATTTATTTCTGTCTGCCTATTACATTAATACCACAATCTCACATTTGTTTTGTATTCATCTTACCCCTTCTCTAACCTCATTTCTGTTACTAACTACCCCATTGTATTATCAGAGGATTTGCCAGGAGACTAGAGAGTTCTAAATTTGTTCTTTCTCCTACTTTTCTCTTAATTCACACTTGTTTCTTTAGTAACTTACAAGTTCTCGTTTGTTGAACCCAAGGAATGTTTTCGCTACTGGAAAGCTTTATGTTAAAGGTGTTTGTTAATTGTAGAAAATTTCTTTTAAATACAAACACAACTGGACTTTTCCTTGGAACTTGTGTCTTTGAACAGTTAGTTTTGTTTTGTTTTTTTAATCAAATAGCAACATATATCACAATCACAACACTTTAAAAATAATGAGGTATAAGTTAACTAGAAAATGTTCTATTAAACATTTAAGAAGTTTTAAATGTATGTTCTACAAAAAAAAAAAAAAAAAAAAACAGCAATAGACAGATCTTGAAAGTGAATTTTCCTGATTTCTTCATGCTGCGAGTATCCAGGTGCATTTTCTTATGAACAAAATGAAATGAACTCTTATTCTTTGTTTTATCTATATAATAACTGTATTCTAGAGGCTATGCTTTAATTGTAAATAATCCTCCACATTCTTTCAGTGTAAACTCTTTAAAGAGTCATGAATTTTATTTATACTCTCTCTTTCTTTGAGAGTCTTTTGTTTATTTGCTGTTTCGTTCTTTGTGAAATAACACTCCCAGCGGAAAATCCCCCTCTCTGCTTAAGGAATTAGGCCAGAGACAAAAGCAGGGAATTCTTTAAGCCTTGTTTTGTGCTAAGAGAAATGTTTGACATTTCTGTGGAGAGGTGTTTAGTTTGGATTCATTAGGTCTTAGGGACTCTTCTCTTTTCTGGCCTTTCAGATTCTGTCACTGTTTTTTTCTGTGTTTGGTAGACTGAAGAGAATTTACCAGGGTGTAATTAGGTTGCCCATATTCGAGTAGCAAAAATCCAGTTGCTTTAAAGGGTAGATCAAGTATTCCCCTGGCCGAGCAGGCCAAAACCTGAAACCCACTTTCTGACACCCCTCTGAGTAGAAGAACATGAAGCAGCAAAAGCAATGAAGAAAAAGGCCTCAGTGGCAGTTAAATGCTGCCTGAAATCAATACCTCTCCTAAGCACCGTTAAGCAAAGTTCGAGGCCACAGCGTCCACAGCTCTCCCCAGGAAGGCCCGGACCCTGCCTTCTCCTGGGTTTCATATAGAAACACTAAATACGTTTGGTTTTAAAGTAATCTTTTTAACACAAAAGGAAATGTGGAAATATAGATCTATTTATTTAGGTATTTTACAACACCTTGACTGGCCTCCATTTCCTCCCAAGATCATTTAAAGGTTGTCTGTTGTCCAGCGTGGAAATGTCATGTCCTTGACGGCTCACAGCCAGATCATTGCCTTCTGCTAAACAACAGGGACACTCTGCTAAATTATTATCCTCACCACCGCCATGAGTAGGACCCCAAATATTTGATAATTCCCCCACTTCCACAAGCCAGAAATAAAGAATAAAGCTTGGTCCCATCTTACCTTTTCCTCGTGGATGTGACATTATAGACTGAACCAGCATGGTTTGCTCTTACAGGATCATCCCCCTGTAAGGATTCAAATAGGCTTTTACCAAGATGTCTAGATAGGCCCTTCCCAAGGTTTCACCTTGGTATGTGGAGCTCAGATCAGTCGAGGCCCCTCCCCCTTCATTCATATTTAAATTCATATTTAAATTAATTCATATTTAAATTCATATTTTTTTGTGGTTGTTCAGGAGAAACCTAACCACCTAACTGAAAGCAGGGCAATGTCCCATGAAGTCATTCTCTATCCCCTCCTGGTCACAACAGTGCCCACTCTCTCCTGGATACCACTAGGGCCCTTAGCACAGGCTACGAGTCCCCTGCTTGTCCCACTTACGTTGGAATGAATTTTCATGTAGATTCTCCATACGTGTGTTATTGGGTCCCTTTCTTCTACTCTTCTGCCTGAAGGTAACTTGTGTGTTCACCTAGGCCAAGAAGAACCCAGCGGCCTGGGGAATTTCCACTGCCTCCTGACACTCTGTATTTTACTACTGTCGATAGCAGAGTGTGGAAGAAGTGGAAGCAGGGAATCTGGGTGCTCAGAACAGCTCAGAGATTAGCAAGCACTCCCACCCAGACCCTTCCAGAATGGACAGAGTCCTCTCCAAGTAGATCCCAATCCCTACACCAGACCTTACCATCTCAGCCCAAAGGCCTCTGACTTTCAGCTTAAGAAGCATTCCCTCCTGCCACTGTGAGGCTGTTTTCTGGGTTCAGGCCACACCTCAGAGAGTGATGAAGTTTTGGTGTTCAAGACTGATGGATTCATCTTTTACCATTCTTAAAGAATCAGGGAGCCTATGTGGAGCCCTGATTAGTGGTGTCTTGATTGGGATTTCTTTAGATAGCAGACAAGCAGAAATGCTGGAGAAAGTCCTAACATGGGAAAGAGCAAATAATAACGTCTTTAACTCATGGATCATGCCGTGGCCAAGTATGCCATCCTAGTCTTCCCTGACAACGAAAAAAGCCCCAATTTGTCTTTATAAAATTGTGGAGAACCAGTCAGTGGTTACATAAAGAAATGTGTACAAAGCATTAACCTGCGTTTAGCCTCCCATCTCCAGGAAAGCTTTCAACATGACCGCAACGGATCCTTCTTCAAGGGATGTTAAACTCTACTATGCTTGTTAAAATTATTCCTATTCTTAATATTATTTAATAGAAGGGGAAAACTCATGGTATTCTTCCTCTTCTGCTTGAAATCCATGATTGTAAATGGTGGTTCAAGTTCATTCAAAACCATTTTGCAATTTCACAAAATACAGAAAACGTTGAGAAGAAATGTAAGTTAAAAAAAAGCAACAGGGCCTCCCTGCTGGCACAGGGGTTAAAGACAGCGCTATCAAGCTATCGCCAGACATTGCAGCCCGAGTTTGATCCCCAGCCAGGGAGAAACCCACATGGTGCAGCAGACCTCTCCCGACTCGCCCACTGCTCCCCCAATTACTATCATTCCCACAGGACTGCCCCCCGACAATCTACCAAATACAATATGTTCTAAAGGGCAAATAAAGTGATAGAGAAGAGTTTTCATCTTAACCTGGAGCCCTTGACCCTTGATATCTCAATGTAAAGATTCAGGGTCTTCTGAATCATAATGTATTAAATTCAAATATGTTTCCATATTTTAAACCTTGTAGATGGACTCTACATATTCAAAGCCAGATAAAAGCTACTAGGCCTCCAGAGCCTCCCTATTAGTTGTCCATTACTATGCATATTATAATTTTGAATAAACATGATCCTTGGGCTTCTTAATAATCATTGCCTTCTTTGGCCATTATAAAAGTGTCATATTTTGTGATCAAATGTGGGTTTGTAGTTTTGAGATCCTGTAAAAAACTAGCAATTTTTTAAAAAGATTTATTTATGCATACAAGAACAAGGGTATAAGCCAGAGGTGTGGGGGATGAGAGGATCCACCAGAGATAGAGTGGGGAACAGAACAGGCAAATTGACCAAAGTACACATGTGGGTCAACAGCTTGGCTGGGGGTCGAACTCCTGCTGCAGTGACTATGGACAGCTTCATAGTGCTGTGTCTTAAACCCTTGAGTCACCAGGGAGGCTCCAAAACTAGCAATTTTTTGACATTATCTTTTGTTTTTTCTTACAAACCATGCTGCATCCACCTCCTTAAAAAAAAAAAAATTATTTATTTATGCATACAAGAACTGGGGTACAGGCAAAATGTGCAGGGGGTAAGAGGATTCACCAGAACAGGCAGACTGACTAAATACACTGCTGAGGGGAGCAGCAGGTGACACAGGAAAGGTCTGCTGAGCCATGTGGGCTGCTCCCCGGTTGGCTGGGGATCGAACTCGTGCTGCAGATGCTGTGGATCACTTCATAGTGCTGTGCTTAACCCCTTGAGCCACCAGGGAGACCCCCACCCACCTTCTATTACTTGCAGACAAGGCTGGATGTTGCAGGCACTAGAGATGTGATTATAGCTCATGCTATTCAGTTGGTTTCTAACTCTTCTTGTATCCTTGGGAGATGTAAGAGGCTCAGGTCCATGCTATAAGATAATAAAGTTGATTTCCAAAGAAAATGGTGGAAGCACGAAAAGATGCATTTTTGGAGGTGGTATTTTTTGAGCCATTTCTACAAATGAACAAACATCCTCAGAATATTAATATAAGTTGCTAACAATTCGCTATAGAATGGATTTCATTTAGACCTTTCAATATTTTATGTCCCAGCATTCACCAGGTCAGCAAGAAAGGGAATGGTACCTGTTAAGCAACTGCAAACACTGGGTCTGTTTCTCACAATATGAGCCCATTATCCACCAACATTTGAAAAGATTTCTACACAGATTTTTTTTCCCCCAAATTTGGATTTAATACAAAAATCAAATGCTTGGCTTCCAGGCATTGGTGGGAAGTTTTGGTACAGCATTAACCAAACAAATTCTCAGTATAAGAAGACAGATTTTGTATTTGATGGGATTGTTAAGCTTCCATTACAGATAATGTTTTAAATGTGATTATTTGACCTCCCAACTTTATTTTTATTGTTACAAAATTAAGACTTTCCCCCTGTGGTATGCCTGTCACTTTTGAAATGGGAAAAATGATGAATGGCAGCCCATTTGCCTTGCTGTGCTTTATCAAGCTCATTAGATATGATACATGATCTGAACTTTACAGAAGGCAAAAAAATACACGAACACCCTCTTCCTTATCTTTTTTGTTTACCTCTGAAAGTGGGATATTTTACTTGTTGCACAAACTGACCACCTATGAAGAAAAGAAAAGCCTTTCTTTAAAATCCATGGATTTCATCCCCAACAGCCCTAAGCTTGAGCTGTAAATTTTCATAGACTGATATCATCTCTGAACTTCTAGTTCAGAATGGTCCATTTTATCTTTCCATTGTTAAGCTAGGCAATGAACAACTTTATGTGCATGTATAGATTGGATGCAAAAAAAAAAAAGTTACTTTGAACACCACTTTCTAATAAGGACTTATAATAAAAGCCTTTAAGAAAAACTCTTCAGTTTCATAAAACCAACTCTCAGTCATAAATTTAAACAATGCTTATTCTGCTTTAGAATCATAGCAATTTGCTGAATATTCACTTTCGAAGAAAAATGTAAGACTGAGTTGTAAACTGATTTATACCAAATAAGTTTTAAATAAATCTTGAAAATCCAAATATATCATAGAGATAAAAATCTGTTATCTTCTTACCACTTGCTATACTATTTTGAAAAAATTTGATTTTCACTAAACCTTAGATAGATTCACCATGATGAAGAGGATCAGATTAACGATTGTTTGACCAAGTTTAATTCAATGCTTATCAACTAAAACAATTTTTTTCTCATCCATCAGAAGCTAACTGTTACAGAGATGTAATGCAAATGAATATTAATTTTAAATGACAAATACCGATTTGGTAAAGTTTATTTGGCCTCAAATAAGAAAAGGGACTAATTTGATAGCAAATATATATATATATACACATACATACATACACATATACATATCACCTTAACTTCATTGCCATTAATACATATTTTATTTTCTGGCACTTGGGATGGATGGACTTACCTTGGTAATAGAATAAACACTGAGGCACTTACATTTACAAAAATAGCCTTATTCCAAAATCATATACTACAATTCTTTAACATATTTCCTAGGAGAGTCTTCTAGATGATCCATGGGTCAATCTCAATGCTAGATAGCTCTAGATAGCTCTAGATATCATCAAAAATGGTATCTACCCTTTTGTTTCTATAAGTAGTCATTAACTCACTTGAAATTAATTTGCAGCTTCAAAGAAGTTATGACTGGCATCATCTCATTCTCTTCCATCATTCACTCAGAAATGTTCTGGTGTGGTATTTTGCTGGGTTCTGGTGTGTTACGATCCCCAGGTCACAGCTGACACTGCCCTGTGACAATCTAGAGGAAAGACTGATCTTAATCTAACGTAGTTTAACGAGTAAAGAATTAAGTTGTTTTTTTGGGCCCCCCTGGTGGCACAATGTGTTAAATGTCAGCACTATGAAGCAATCCACAGCTACTGCAGCACGAATTTGATCCTCGTGCAGGGAGCTACCCACATGGCACAGCAGACCTCTCCTGTCTCACCCACTGCTCCCCTCAGCAGTGTATTTCAGTAGATCCATCTATTCTGCTCCCCACTCTCTCTGATGAATCCTCTCACCTCCCGCACCTCATGTCTACACCGCAGTTCTTGTATGCATAAATAAATAAATCTTTAAAAAAAAAGATGAGGTCAAAAATCTTTGCAATACTAAGGAAGTTCGCTTTAAGTTATAGTGAGTGAAGTTGATATGAATGTCTAACATAGAACTTTTAAAATAGTTGATCACTTGGAGTCACCATTTAGAAGGCTTTCTGGTGATATGATTAAAGAATATATTCCATTTAACCATGGTAAATTTCACTTTATAGGAATTTTGTTTGACTTGGTAATGCAACCTAATTTTCAAGATATCATTCCACAATTTATTGGAAGACATTTTGCATCTGATATACATATATAGTTTCTCTGATTACACAGAATACTATGAAAGAGTTAAATTTTGTGCCAAAAATATTGTATGGTATTATACCTTCTCTATTAAAAAATAATAAACATTGCCAATTTGGAAGAAGAACTTGTAAATGCTTGAAATTTGCAAGTTGATTTCATGTCTGGCTTCTCAGCGGGGCACCTGGTAAGTCTCCCTGAGGCCTGTCCTTGTGGGTGTCTGGGTACAAGAGTCTTTTAATAATTCTGCTCTGCAACACAGAAGAGACATGCTGTTTAAAAGCTGGTGAAAGGTGATTGCTAGTCTTGAAATAAAAAAAGCTGAGTTTCATTTTAAAAAACAAGACCCTTTGCAGTTTGACTGAAATGCATTAAGCAGAATAGAGAGACTATCTCTTGTAATTGTCAGCAGATTGGCAATCTGACATATAATTCTGGCAAACCTGTACTTAATTGCTAAAATATGACTTCCTAGCAACTACAAGTATGTTCTGGCAATGTCAAGTTATCCCAAACCACATGACTTGACTTCTGCTTTAGAATTAAAATTGAAGATTTATCCCAGGTTGAAGCCACACTGCATGCCCTTCTGCAAGAACTCGATAGACTGCAGACAGGAAAGCGGGATATCGTTAAAGCACTGCAGTGCCCCAGGGGTCAATGTCAGATACAATCTAATTTAACATCTTTATTAAGGATCTCGAAGAGGGAGTAAGCCACATATTAATGAAATGTGCAAATGATATTAAACTGGGAGCTGGTGTAACCACCAGTAAGGACAAAGAAATAATAGAAATGCACCAAAAGAGGTTAAAACTACGAGCAGAAAATTATTACATGAAAATCACCTTCTTGGGATTGATGATTTTGGAGATGAGCGCTGGGATTCAGAAATCTCCAAGTTTGGGGGCTGCAACCCATTGGGAATTAAGAGCAAGAGAAAAGAGGGCAACCTTTAGCTCGTATCTAATTTAGTATCTAATGTAAACATTTTACATTACATTATGTAAATTTATACAGTTTTTAAAATCAGAAAGATCACCAACTCTAAAATTTAAATACATGCCAACTCAAATGTAGTAGCTTAACTAAATACGACACAGATAGCTATGAAAAATGACTTCTGAGTGAACTATATCGACATGCAGCACATACGAAACAGCACAGAGCAAAAAAAAAGGCAGAACAGCAGGCATGGGCATGACCATAAAGTGTAACATAACATAGCTTAAAATATGTGTGTCCTCACTAACCAAGCTCCAGAGGTCTGCCTCCCAAAACCACTTTCAAATATACACAAATTGGGAAAAACAAATAATTGTGTTTTTTTTAAAGATGCAACAATTCAGATGCCCTGACCTGTTGGCATCTATTCCTCCCTTCTGCCTATTTTCCACCCAGTTGAGACAACTCCAATTGACACCGCCAAAGCTGTTAGGAAAGTCACTTCTGGAGGTGCAATTGGCCACCTTCCAGTCTTCAGGTCGGGGTGCCCTGACTGCCTGCATCTTCCTGAAACCCTGCCTTTTCCACCTCCACTTCCACTCCAGTGCCAATGCCCTGCAGTTCCTCTCGCAACGCCAGTTTTGCTCACCCAAAGTGGCCCACTAGGCACTCGCAGGTTCAGTCATTTCGACAAGAAATCTTAAATCTGTAAACACGGTCCCAAAGCAATGGTTGCATTTTTGTACCTTCCCCTCCAGCCTCCCTCCTCTGGACCCTCCCTAGGGCACACCCACACCTGCAACTGTTACTTGACCTTCTTTGCCCTCCCCTTCTATCTCCGTAAGAGGCAGCTTCCACTGTATTCTAATTCCATCCAAGGCCCCTTGCTGGCTTTTAGGATCCAAGAGAGAAAGGAAAGAAAGAAAATCCCCTGGTGCTCCAGATATATACCAAAGGGAACTCACTGACCTCACCTTGAACCCACCATAGGGACTCCCCCTAACCAGCAGATAGGAGATAGCAAAACTGAAGGTGCAAAGGGGCTGAGGTTCTAAAATAGCAAGGAAAAATGATTGCATGCGTGCTTCGTACACAGATGCTAAACCACAGCATGTTAAGTGTGGGGTCTACTGCCTCTGTATCTAAGGGATTGTGACACCTCTGTGCATAACACAGGTGATGAGGATTCAGCAGTGGGTCGGGAGGGTGAGTAGAGATGCCACGTAAGGATTGTAGCTCATCATGTAAACACGCTGAAACCATCAAAGGATATCCTTGCCAAAGAGGAGAAGGAATTCTTTTAAATAGATGAGAAAGAAGTACTAGATATAGGGAAATGAAATTCAAGAAGTGAACAAATCATTTCACTCTTAAGAATTGTATTATAGTTAATGGATTTAAGTTTCATGGACTTAACATACCTAAGGATAGATTTAACAAATATGGAAAGTTTGGTACAGAAAGACAGTTTTATGAATGATTCCTAAATTATCATGACTTACAATGAGCTTCTCCACCTGGAATGTTCGCTTTCTTTAAGTTCATTACCTGACTTATTTCCAAGCAGAATTGCCTTGTAACCTCCCCACTATTTGCAGCACAAATGAACTCTACCCCACCCCAACTTAGGTTGAAAAATGATTTCAAGAGTTATTTCACTTTCCTGGATACCTTAGCTTTTGTTCATGTGTAATTAGACAACTGATCAGAAGTTCAAGTACAGAACATTTTGAATACTTTCTACCACAATAAAATAGGATTTTTTTTCTCCTTAGAGAAAAATGATCCTAGCTTACTTGTCGAGGACTACTTCCAGGGGTCTATGAAGTACAAATTGTTCATGTCAAAGACCATGGGAAGGTGTTCAGTGCCTGCTCTGTGCCAGCAGATCTTCTAGGAGGTGAGAATGTAGAAAAAAAGGGAAATCTGGTCCCCCTATCCTTAAAAAATTACACTATTAGGTGACATATTAACCAATAGATTTGTATTGCAGGTTAAATTTAATCAATGGAATTACTAATACTTGTAGGTCTTCCAGGAGTACCACATATAATCAGTCACTTGGTTTTCAAATATTAAAATATAAGTTCACTAAATGAAAATGGATGGTTTTTCAAAGAAAAAAAAAATAATTACTTTGAAGGACACCAGAAAAGTCTTCAGCAAATTTTACAATGTACACTGATATTTAGTTCCCTATTTGGATACATGGAAAGATTGTAGTCCCCAGTCCACTGGAAATTAGGTGTGATGACCAGGGGACCTGCTTTGACCAGTAAAGTGTGAGTGGAAGTGAAATGCAGATCTTCTCAGTGGAAGCTTGTAATCACCAGTGTTTGGATTCTCTCTTGCCTTTGCTCCTGCAATCAGTGATGTGCATGTTGATGAGAAGGTGAATTTCAGGGTTATCCCCAGGATCATAGTGTTCTGAAATCACTCAGATCAGTAATGAACTTTGTATGAGCCAGAATTAAACCTTTACTGTTGAAGTCATTCTACCTAGTTTATTACTGCAGCATAACTTTGCCTATCCTAACTGATAACACTTATTAAACTTAAGGCCAAATATTATGTCTTCATTATAAGACAAATAACGCACATATATATATATATTGCAGTGTATATATATATTGCAGTATATATGCAATATATATAAATGCAACATACATTATATATATATGCAATATACATTCCAAATGAAATAATTGTCAACTCATCAAGATGTAGCTACTGCATGTCCACAGGATAAGAAATGTTTAACCAGGCATGTGTCAGGAACATAAACTTTAATTTGTAGAATAGTTGGAATGAATGCCTTTTCCTAGCTCATTAATATCCATGAATAGTGATGATTAAGGGATCTGGGACAGAATGTCATGTGGACTGTCCACTTCCACCCACACAGGTAGCCTGTGGGTCTGCATTCATCCATTCTTGAAAGAAAAAAAAATTGGAGATTCTCTGATGAAGACAAAATGGTTTCAGTGTTTTCTGTGTCAGACGCCTAAGGGAGATTTTGACAAGAGGAAAAAAACACACAAGATCAGGAAACCATTCTTAGAACTGACTATATAGTTACAATGATGAGTAAAAATAAAAATAAATATGTCTAATCACAGAATAGTTTATCATGTGAAATAAAAATGAATACTCGTTTGCATTGAAGATCATTCTCTTGTATCTAATTTGGAGAGATACTTAACAAATAGTATAACAAAGACTTTCTTTCTATTATAATAAGTAATTGATGTCGACTTAACCATTTTGCCTGATGGATTTCAGCACGAAAGAGTGACAGTCAATCACTGTACCATCATTGAAAAGCTGCATTTTAGATGATTTGTTTTTTAAGACATTTCTATGCTTCTTGAAATGAGAAAACATCCTAGCCATGAAAGTGTTGTTATAGCTGTTTTCTTGAAGTACCATATGCAGAATTCCAAAACAGCTTTGGAATGCTAGTTCATGTTGACCGACTAAATGGTCTTCACTTTGAATCAGAAAACTGTTTCCCTGGTCTCTGGTCTCAAGTGTCTTTCATATCCAAATCTTCTAATACTCAGCCACTAAAGCAATTTTCGAAATATAAAGTTGACCTTGTTCTTACTACTTGAACCATGACCAAATCTTCTCAATTGAGGCCTCTCTTGTGGTGCAAGGTGTTAAGCACCCACTACGAAGCACTCCGCAGCCTCTGCAGGAAAAGTTCAATTCCCCGGCCAGCCAGGGAGCTACCCACATGGTGCAGCAGACCTCTCCTGTCTCGCCCGCTGCTCCCCTCAGCAGTGTATTTCATCAGTCTGCCTTTTCTGTTCCCCACTCTGTCTCTGGTGAATCCTCTCACCTCCCGCATCTCTGGCCTATACCCCAGCTCTTGTATGCATGAATGAATAAATCTTTTTTAAAAAAAAAAGTTAAAAAAAAAAATCCCAATTGCCTTCAGCATAAAGTTCAAATTTCTTTGCCCACTTCCCTGTCCAAAATATTCTTTGTTTCCCATTGCACTGAGTAGGTTCCACACCCCAGATTCACCATGCCCTTCCAGGCTCTTATCTGAGACATGCTTCTTCAGCTTCTTTCTCTGGCTCAGGACTCCCATGTAAAACATCCCCTTAGAAAAACCAAAGTCACTTATTTTTTCTTTGGTGCCTATGCTGGATAAGGTACAAGTTTGTTGCTATTACTGCAACATACTACCTGATTGCTATACTTCATTATAGTGCTTGCTATACTTCATTATAGCTATTCAGTTACCCAGACAAGTAGACTAAGCCAAGCTCTTCAATGGCAAAAAAAAAAAAAAAAAAAGGAAAGAAGGAAGGAAGGAAGGAGAAAAACATTTTTATTTACCTTTAAACCACATCCTCTCAAGTAGTTCAAGTGTCTGGCCTATAGTTATGGGTAAACATCTGGTGAATGAGTGAGTGAATCAATGAATCAATGAATGAGACCTGAATTCAACTGATAATTTTATCAATAACCTCCTGTGTTACCTTGGCCAGGTCATTTTATCTCTCTGTGTCCCTGATTTCTGAGCTATGAAGGAGGGTAATAATTGCCACCTGCCACGGAGGGATACTATGAGGATTAATGAAATAATTTTTGTAAAGTAGTTTGAGCTTGCTGGAAAAAAGGCACGATGTAAGAACAAAGTGTTTTATAATTATTATGTAACACCTTTCATCTGAGAATCTCAAAGCACTTCACAAAACATGAAATCATTCATCTTCCCAATTTCAAGAGAGAATTCTGTCATCTCCATTTTACAAATGGAGGACACACAGATAGGGAAAATTACATGCCCAGTCCATGATGCCAGCCCCGTTGATTGTCAAATCCTAGAGCAGGTTTTAGGGCTCTGATCTTGGCAACCGCCCTTTGAGCCTCCGTCACTGCAGCTCTCCCATTTTCCCTACATAGAGGAAGCCACTGAGCAGCCAGGGCAGGATGGCAAAGATCCAGTTGGAGAGAGGGCCCAGGTTAATACCTTCCATAGAAGGGGTGGGGTGGGGCAGGAGGTGATGACCACAATCCTGCCCTCAAATGTAACAGTAAGAAGAAAATGCAATCAATCGCTTACCCTCCTCCAAGCCAGCCTTGGGCTCAGATCTTTTCATCAACCCTCTTTTAACTTGACACCTTTCTGGGATGTCTGTCTCTCAGCCAGAAAATGTCTCATCACCTTTGAATACAAAGGTAGCAGTTTAGCAACCAAAGAAATAATCCTAAAATACTGCATTCAAAGGAGCTTTCTCCTCCTAAGACTGTTTTTCCTGCCGAATCCCACGAATGTCAGCTGAGACAGGTGGTACTAATCCGCCTTCTAAAAGGAAAAGGAAGAATGTGAGCTATTCTGCATATACTTAGGAGGGGGAGCTGGAGTTTGGATAAAGATGCATTACATCAGGAACATCTAGCAAAGGGGAGCCTTTGCTATTCATAGCTAACCAGAGAGGCAACACGTGTGCTTTTCTCGCAAATGTTAGGTCCGTGCTTCCTGGAGGTTGTGGTCAAGATGACTGGCTCAATAATGTGAAGAAATATGCTAAGACATATCAGCATGTGTGTTCTCAGCATCCTAGAAATAGCAGGGCTGTGTCAGGGGGCCAGGTTAACTCAACAATCATCATGCTAGTGAGGGTTCTTTCATAGACCCATTGCTAGAATAAACATTGCATTATGCCTTGCTTTTCAAAGCCAGAAGAGCATAAATAACCCCTTATGATCCCCTTCATGCTGACACCTCCTCTGAGAACTTGAATGGACTATCCCTCAACTTCTTCCCAATGGTGATTTTTCTCTCCATTCACTCACAAGTCCACCCTGCAAGTTGATGACTTATGCTCAACATCCTAGAAGGACAGAGAACTTCCCTCCAAGATCAGGTGGCCCAACAGGGTGGCACAGAGGGGCAGACTACCTCTGGGGGGAGAAATCAAATATTGCACAAAAATGAACAATGATGCAAGAAATAAAATAATAAATTAATTAGGAAAAAAGATCAGGTGGACCAAGATTTCGATGGAGTCTGCAAGAACCAGAGTTCTTCCCAGGAAGGTGGACAGTGTGCCTGCACAAGGAGTGACATAGTGGTGACCTATTAAAACAGAAGTGATGGGGCCTCAGCGTTATCATACCCTATGGCCTGAGTTTGATCCCTGGCCAGGGAGCTACCCACATGGTGCGGCAGACCTCTCCTGTCTCGCCCGCTGCTCCCCTCAGCAGTGTAGTTCAGTGTATTCAGTGTATTTCAGTGTATTTCGGTCTGCCTGTTCTGTTCCCCGCTCTGACTCTGGTGAAAACTCTCACCCCGCACCTCGGGCCTACACCCCAGTTCTATGCATAAATAAATAAGTAAATCTTAAAAATAATAAAGCAGAAGCAACTAAGTTAACTTGAGGGCATTAAGTTTGTTTCAAAAATCAACCATCACACCTTTTTTCTAACAAAGGAGAAGTTTAGTGAGTTCTAAGTTGAGTGAGTTTGGTTATAGAAAAGGAGAAAGAAGATTCACAGTAACTATCACTTTTAAATGCACCATCTCTGCCTCCCCCACGGGGTCCATGTTAAATTACTACATATTTTCTGAACAACAAAAAAGGATCTTTATTTTTTAGAACCAGTTTTTATTTTTCTGAAGTATTTTGTAACCTGTGATCTCTTGCTTTCTAGGTAGTTTTTTTTTGTTGTTGTTGTTATTGTTGTTTTACCCTTTATTATTTAGAATTCTAAGCAGCACCTGACTTTCCAAAAATACATTTCATCCCGTGGCCCAGTACTCTGAACCAGTCAGTACTGTTGCAAGCACAACTGTCAGGAGGGGTTGAGGGAGGGCACCTCATTTCTCAACAGAGAAATCAGAACAACGCCAGGGGAATCAGGTCCAGCATATTCTGGACAAGTTTGCCAGCAGAACGCAGTAAAAATGATCACTTCCGGGCCTCCCTGGTGGCACAAGGCATTAAGACACAACCTATGAAGCTATCTGCGGCCACTGCAGCACATGTTCGATCCCCAGCCAGGGAGCTACCCACATGGAGCAGCAGACCTCTCCTGTCTCGCCTGCTGCTCCCCTCAGCAGTGTATTTCACTCAATCTGCCTGTTCTGCTCCCCACTCTGTCTCTGGTGGATCCTCTCAACTCCCACACCTCTGGCCCATACCCCAGTTCTTGTATGCAAAAATACATAAATCTTTAAAAAAAAAAATCACTTCCACTTAACACCCTTTAGGAAGGGTCAGCCACTGTTCCAGGCGCTTCACAGACTCATCCTGACTCAGCAGGCAGGAAGATCTGACCATCCCCTCTTTTTGTGGAGAGGTGCGTCACACAAGGAATAAGTGGCAGACCTGGGTGCTAAACCCAGGTTTATCTGCTCCCCGAGTGGGGGTCCTTCTCCCCAAACCATGCGCTCCCCGAGGGGATATCTGCCATTGTCTCAGCCCCCTGGGGTGTGTACCTCTTTGGGACCCTTGCCAGTGTTTCCAAAGTTCTCAAAAATTTCCCTTCCAAGGCAGGCTCAGCAAGGAGCAGAAGAATTTTCTGCTGCAGTTGACCAAATACACTCTCCATAAAAAATAGAAACGAAAAGTCTTTCTACTAGAGTCTTGATAAAAGTCACTGTCCTTGCTCAGACAGAATAAGCCAGTGGGAAAAAAACATAATTTTTAATGTTGCAGTTGGTTTCTGAAACACTAAATTGATTCAGCCAGAATGAACACATCAAAATCAAGAAGACTCCCATCGAGCAGATTTGGAGATTCAAAATGTCTTGAAAATGAAGATGTTTGCAAGTGAAATGACTCTTCTGGTAAGTTTTGTCTGAACATGACCACCGGAATTTCAGAATTGACTATAGGGAGATAAAAATTGTAAATGAGCTCTGCCTGCAGGATGCCAGGCTTGTGGGGCTTTCTGGAAATAATGGTAGGAAGTTGAACAGCTATGGTTTCATCCAAGTACGTTATTAGCCTTGCACTAAGGGCCAAACTTCTAGGGAATTAATGCCACAAAATGCCCCCCCCCAATGTTTCTACGACCCGTCTATTTTCTGAAGTGGGATGTTACTTCAGGGGAATAATGCTTTGTGACATTTCCCTTTGGTCAAGCACAACTAGGTTAATTAACATGTTCTTCAACACAGCTCTTTTTGGAATGACGTCGTTCTTTCTAAATCGAGAAAGAGAACCATCCCTTGAACACCCAGATCCTGGAGTGCTTCTGCACGGAGTGACTTTTATTGGCCTTTGAAATTCTCACCTCCATGTAGGGACAATTTTAATTGGACTGTAGCTCATTCAGTCTCTCTCACACCTCCTGTTCCAGAAGATTGACAGGAGCGGACAAATCCATGCTCCTTCAGAAGGATCCCTGGTAGGTGTCTGAAAGGGAGGAGCTGCTGCCACTTCCTTGGCCTGCCACATTGAGAGTCACAGATTTAATTTATAGCCAAGTCTAGCTACCCACTGATGCTGGTGCCACTAGCTAGGATCAAAATTATGCCAGGAGGAGGGCAAGCCCCACACCCAGAGCTAAATGAGCCAGAGAGAGAGCTAGACAGAGCAGGTAGCAGGGAAACAAGGAGCAGTCTTAGCTAACACTGGATCTTGAAGAGAAAGATCTAGATTGCAGCGTCAGCTGGACAGCAGGTTGCAGGCATGTCCTGTGTCTCTGCACAAGACAGAGCTTTTCTCTGTGTGCATGCAGGACTGTCATTGGTTTCTTTGTTTTCCTCACTAAAATCTTTTCAGGGCAAGGTATAGATCAGCAACCTCACCTCACACACCCCAATGCATAGCACAGATCCCTCCCCCACCCCACCCCAACAGGCAAGCACACAAAATATTTTGAATATCAGGTGTCAACCAATGATGGGCTTTGTCTTCGGGACAATATCCATTTGCTCTATAATAAATGTGCAGTCGCCTGCTTTGTGCCAGGGACAGCATCAGTGGGGTTAGTTTCAATGACATGTGAGTCCTGCTGAGGCTGCCTAGACTGTTTGCAAGCTTTCGCTAAGATCGGGTGGTCTAGGCTTCGTGTGAGTAGAATCGGCTTTAAGGTACAGAGAGGCAGAGGGGAGTTCAAGGTTCACAGGCAAGAAAGGCAGCAGGGAGCAGGGATGGGCAGCCAGGTAATCCTAGGACGGTCTCTACCTATTCTCTGGTTTCTGCCTGCATCTGAGGGTGAAAGTCAGTGGCCAACAGGTGTGCGTGCTCCCAGGTGAGGTGGCTCCACAGGTGTTGGAAGCTTTTGATTGCAGCACCAACCGAAAGCAGGGTCCTGGGGGAATTCTTAGCACCCCAACAGCTGATTCCTTCTCAATACCCACCAGGGCAGTGGTGTGAGCACAGCTGCTCCTGGTGTGTGTTAACCCTTTGTTAGCCTGGGCACAAGGAGGGTGGGGGAAGGCCCTACTGGGCCCAATTGCACTGGGGCTCAGTTTCACCCCATCATTCATTAGCTCAGTGGTCTTGGGGATCCCTTCCCTGGGCTCTCTTCCTCTTTCTATACAAGGGGGAGAGTGATTTCTGCTTTTTAGGACTTCAAAATTTTCTTGAACATAAGGAGATCTCAGGAGACCTTAGAAAAAAAGTGAAGTGTGTCCTGATGGCTAAGAGACTGCTATGTGAAGAGAATGGTTTTCCTCCTAATTTTCTCCTCCAAACAGTCATGGGGGAGAAAATGATGGGGGTGGCCGCGAACTAGCTACACACCCGAGTTAGAAAGGATGTCACTGATTGGCTTGCATGTTCATTCAGCAAATTGCTAAGTACTGATTATGTGCCTGTCCCACAAGATCTTCAGCAGCGACTCCCCCACCCAGCTCAATGTGTCTGACTATTGTAACACTTTCCCAAGTGCGACGTTCAAGGGGACGGCTGGCTGTCAGTACAACCATTTATCCAGAGTGATATAGACCAGGAATTTGCACCCTCACCAAGAAAATAGGAGTCCTACTTAGCGAACGTGGTCTCTGCCCGCTGCTTGCTCTCACAGCTTCATTCTACAAGTTCAAGGTTGCTGCCCATGTCACTGAGCAAAAAAGCTGAAACAAACCCAAAATGGAGTCTTTTAAAAGCAGTGTTCTCAAAATGTAGTCCCTGGACTGGCAGCTTCAGTGTGCACCGAGATCTGATCAGAATGACAAGCCTCAGGACTCAACCCCACCAAAGCAGAAATTCCAGGGTGGGTCTAGTGCCCCATGTTTTCGTCAGTCCTCCAGGTGGTTTGGATGGATGCGCCATGCCGTAGGCTTTCTGATGCTGCTAAGAGGCCTGAAATCAAAAAGCTGAAGCCAGGTGAACTCAAATACAGTGTGAAGCCAAATACCCAAGGCGAAGGGGAGAAAAGGCTTGATTTCTAATCCTGTAAGGAGACGTATTCTCACTACTTGGAGGTATTTTACACACCACCTCAAATGAGATAGGTTTAATTATCAAAAGACTATTGTAGTATTATATTTTATGTGTCTTTAAAGTTAACATGGTACCAAAATCCTGATGTTAGGGCAGAGAAAGTGGCTATGTGACAAGGAAGTTTCTTTTTTGCACCTTAATACCCAAGTCAGAGGTGACCAGAAGTATCTAAAGTGTCATATTAATTAACTAATTCAATGAAGAAACAGAGACTGGTAGAAATGATTTAGAAAAAATAGGAACTTGATTATTTCTAAGCTCTTCATTCAAGAGTAACCTCATCTGATGGTATTCTAATTTTTCTTGTTTCATAAATAGTCATTTCAAGTAATAAATCTGTTGGCTATGGAAATACCAGTGATTAATAGCTTTCCTAAATTCTTTCTTTTTTAAAGATTTATTTATTTATACAAGAACCTGGGTACAGGCCAGATGAGCGGCGGAGGGTGAGAGGATTCACCAGAGACAGAGCGGGGAAAAGAACAGGCAGACTGACGAAATACACTGCTGAGGGGAGCAGTGGGTGAGAGAGGAGATGTCTGCCACACCATGTGGGACCCTCGCCTGCTGGCCGGGATTGAACCGGCACTGCAGAGGCTGCAGACAGCTTCACAGCACTGCGCTCAACCGCCTGCGCCACCAGGGGAGGCCCATTTTCCTAAATTCTTAAATACAAACTCACTACAATACCCCATGAACTTCAATCAAACACACACACACACACACACACACACACACACACACACACATACACATACATATACACATACAAATAAGCCAAGTTATCTGGACCTTTTGTACTTTCAAAGCAAGGCTGTGTCTTTGTCAGTCTCTGGAGCCACAAAGTTCAACCCAGGACTAAAACACCAGACCAGTCGCATTCATTATACAAATGGGAATGTGGTGACTGCTGCTTGGTCTCAGAATTTCTCAAAGCATTTATCCTAATTTTGAGGTCTGTTTAGGCAACCCAAGCTTTTCACTAATTTGTTAGAAACCTCTAGGACAACTTTCCATTATTTTTTATATATCATAGTCTATTAATATGACTCTTTTCCACACTGTACTCACAGTCAAGAACATTTTACTATGTAGATGTGCAGACAAAATCAACTGGTGTTAATACCCCTAATTCAACAGGTGCTAATGTGAAAATAATGATGGCCACAAATTAAACAGCTGGTGCTGTGACTGGTCGGTTTTTCTTTCCTTCATATGAATAGAAACAGACCTGCACTATGTATAGACTCATATCAAATCAGATGGGGTCTAGGAAACACTGTTCTTTGGAGCATCTGTAAATCTGCATCCATAGTCTCTTTCATTATAATTTCTTTCACTTCATTTTTCCTAATTCCTGTTCCCCATTTGTGATCATGCCAGTCTATCTTGAGAATGAAGGCATGGATGACTGAGTGAAGGATTCAGCAAGCCCAGATCTGCTTTAGCTGAATTCACAGTGACCAGTAGTTATGATGTGGAGTTCCAACCCTGGACTCGCACTGAGGAGGAATTCTTTAAAGACCTTGAAACACAATTTTATCTTCAATTCCATCAAACAAATTTTTCTTGTTCGCTACTATAGGCAATACTCGATGTTTTCTGTCTTTTCTAATGGCAGTTACTGATCATCACGTTGGGGATATGTGAAAGGGCCAGTTAGTTTTGTCCCTAACTAGACTTCATTGAGAAATTAACTGAGAACTGTAGACTTAGCTGAGAAAAGCAATATGAGGAATTCTTTCTGATATGGCATCTGAAAAATGAAAGCCTACTGCTGACCGGTGTCTTCTGTCAGTTAGCACGTTCTGCCACATAAGGCAGGATGAGATTGCAAACTATTCTAAGAATTTGATATGTCTTCCCATTTAAGGGGGGAAAAGATAGCATCAGGCATTGGATTGACCAGTTGTTTTTTCCAACTGACTGAAATAATCAGGTGTTCAGGCACCTTATAATATGAGTTGTCTGGGCAACTTGGTCAACCAGTTGACTTAGAAAATGAATCTTGTTAGCTCAAAACAATTTACTCTTCTCATCATTAATTTTTTTTTAATTCTTTACTGACATATATTTGCCAAATAACATTGTATAAATTTAAGATGTACAACATTCATAGTTGCAATAATTAGCAACGCAATCCTATTACCATTACATAATTATCATTTGTTTCTAGTAGTTGAAATAAGTTCTAGCCTCTTAGCAAGTTTGGTAATTATAATACACTATTTACTTTACTGTGTATTTGATCTCTAGGCCTTATTTATTGCTATTGCAAGTCTGTACCCTTAAACAACAACAATCAATCCCCTCACACCCCAAGCCCTGGTAATCTGGGCTGAGAATTTTATTCTCTGTTTTTACAAATTTGGCTTTTGCAGATTCTACACATAAGTGATATCATATACCATTTCTCTCTGTGCATCTTAGGATAATGTTTTCAGGATCCATCCATGTTGTTCAAATGACAGGATATATTTCTTTCTCCTAGCTCCATTGTGTATGTGCCTGTGTGTGTGTGTATATGTAGATAGATACATATATACATACCTCACATCTTCTCTATCCATCCATTTGTTTATGGGTACTTGTATAGTTTCCATGTCCTGGGTACTGTGAGTAAGGAGCAATAAACAGGGTCAAACATACATCTCTTTGATGTCCTGTTCAAAACAATTTAAACATTTGCTATGTTTCTCATTTAAAATAAATAAATATGCATTAGTACAACAATTGAACTATGAGGAAATAAAGTTGTGAAATTTTAACAATAACCTAAATGGAGGATCAGTAAAATAAAAATAGCCATAAAATTAAATACTAAATACATTTGCTTTAATTATTATAACATAGATGACATGGAAAAATATTTGAGCTGTATCTAAATATACATATAGCTGAGCATAAGTATACTTATTTATAGTTGATTATAGTACACATTTTCCAACACATGGCACCCAAAGTATGTATTTTGAAGATAATATTAATGATAACCTAGGGTTTTAGGCCCTCCTCCAGCCTGGTGAACAACTTCCTGTCATTTCTAGCACAGATCTGACTGTAACCCAATAGGTCTTCGTTGGTCCCTCAGTCAGCCACAAAGGTGCAATCATCCTGTTTGTCAGATGCTAGAACCAGAAAGACAGAATGCTAAACCCAGGTGCTGGGCAAAGATAAGGGCTACCTGTCAACATAACAACCTCTGACACACAATATAATATGGATGGATGGATGGATGGATGGATGGATGGATGGATGGATGGATGGTGGATGGAGCACTTGCTACACATGAAGCCCTATAATGTCTGTTATGTGCATTATTAGAAATTCTCATCATAGCCACTTTAGTCAGATATCATCACCCCAACATTAAAGGACAGAAAACTAGCACTGAGATGTACCCACACTTACAAAACTAAGTATAGAATCCGGGATTCAAATGTCACAAAAGGTTTTCAACTTTTCTCATCATCTCATTATTTGTCCAGAAAGTACTTGATACTTAGAGCCACACCAACTGCCACTTTACTTAAGAATCAGCCTAAAACCTTTGTTCAGATGAAACCATCCCTCCTCTAGTCACCTCCTGGTGTGCTATGGCTCACCCCTTGCACCTTCTTCCTACTATGTTCTATTAATCATCTCATTCCATTTTTATTGAGCCTGATTCTACAGCATATACCATGACCATAGGCCTGTGTTTAGTCCACCAACTTATGAATACAAATTTTATGAATACAAATGAATGAATACTTATGAATACAAATTTTATGAATACAAATTTTTGTGCAAACTTCTGAGTCCATCTTCTGCCTTCATCAAAAATGTAGGCTGACGATAACTGCTATTCCCTCTTCTGCAAAGTGCAGTTCACAACTTCCTATTTGGGACATGAATTTTATGGGTTGCACCTAGCATTAATTTTTTTTAAAGATTTATTTATTTTTATATAAGAACTGGGGTACAGGCCAGATATGCGGGAGGGTGAGAGGATTCACTGGAGACAGAGCGGGGAACAGAAAAGGCAGACTGACGAAGAAATACACTGCTGAGGGGAGCAGTGGGAGAGCCAGGAGAGGTCTGCCGCGCCATGTGGGATTCTCGCCAGCTGGTCGGGATCAAATCTGCACTGCAGAGGCTACGGACAGCTTCACAGTGCAGTGCTCAACCGCCTGTGCCACCAGGGAGGCCCCTAGCATTAATTTTTTAAGTGAAACAGAATATAATAGAAAAGATCAGTGTTCACTGTGGGTAATAAAGCAAACATTACACTGGAAAGTTTAGTTTCAGTTAGACATATGCATTTGCATCTGGGCTGCAATGTAAAATTTAGTACTTAATGTGGCTCTCACCCAACCCAGTTTGAAAAACACTTCTGGACTCAAGGCTCTTGGGAACAGAAAAAGTATGTGTTTCATTTTTCTGTCTCCATGGATGCCACTCAGGTGAGGAAGTGATTGCTTCTAATTTTGAGAGAAAGTTCATAGCTTGTTGATTCTGAATACCAACTTTGAGAATTGCAAATGATGTTCTCACATTCTTAATGTGATTGTCTATTCCCCCATTTATCAATGCATTATCAGACATTGGGCTGTCTGGATAGCATAATTCAATGACTTTTTGCAAAGGAAAAAAAATCTTTCATTAGTAATGCACTCATTTATTCCTTTCCCAAACACTTTTCATCATGTGGACATGGTCTTAGCACCTTGAATGTTAATTATCCACTTAGATGATACTGGATATTCCTGTAGAGAAAATACAGTTGATGAGTAAGTCTGGGAGGAAAAGTCTGTAAACATATTCATTATAATTTATGCAAGGTCAATTTTGGAAGGTCACCTGGGATTTTCAAGCAGGTCAAACCCCAAATTTGTTGTCCCACCTCATGATTATACCCAATTTCCAATAGTTTATATCTTTTCTTGGTTTTAAAAATGAATTTCTGGGGCCTCCCTGGTGGCGCAGGTGGTTGAGTGCAGCGCTGTGAAGCTGTCCGCAACCTCTGCAGCATGGGTTCGATCCTGCCGGCCTGTGAGAATCCCACATGGTGCGGCAGACCTCTCCTGGCTCTCCGGCTGCTCACCTCAGCAGTGTATTTCGTCAGTCTGCCTGTTCTGTTCCCTGCTCTGGCTCTGGTGAATCCTCTCACCCTCCCGCACATCTGAACTGTACCCGGTTCTTGTATAAATAAATAAATAAGTAAATCTTTTAAAAAAAAATGAATTTCTGTAAAATGGTGGTTGACAGAGTGGGGTAAAGGGGTGAGGGAAATAGGGAAATGTTGATCAAAGGGCACAAACTTCCAGCTATGAGATGATTAAGTTAGGGGGATTTAATATATACCCTGATGACTAGAGCTAACAGCAGGGTATTATATACTTGAAAGCTGTCAAGAGGGTAGGTCTTAAAAGTTATCATCACCCAAAAAAATGGTAATTATACAAGAGGATGGAGGTGTTAACTAACCTTATTTTGGCGATCATATCAAAATACATACATTTGAAGTCATTATTCTGTACTTAAACTTATATGTGCTGGATGTTAATGATAGCTCAATAAAGCTGGAAATAATTTAAACTCCTAAAGGAGAGACCAAAAAATTTAATAACTCAATCATGTCAAATCATCATTTGGTGACATGAGAACAAGACTATGATCTAAAATATAGATCTTCGCCACCTCCCAAGATGTATAACTAAGGGATTTTATTGTCAAGTTCAAGGGCATGTCAAGTGGGGAGTGACTTTGAAGTCAGAAACATGTGGATTGATTGGGATTGGGGTAGGATGGGAGAGGATTTTGTAAATAATGTCGGGAACCACAGTTTCCAAAAGAAATCAGTGCTCGAAATTGGGCCAGTGCCACTCCCCAAGTGCTGAGGCAGAATGTTAAAGATTAGATAAAGGATAAAAATTCACATCTCCTCTGGGTGATGAGACAACCCCCTTAGTGTTGGAGAGATTAAAAATCAACTTTTTTTTTTTTTTTGCCTGTTCTTAGCTACAAATTGTTTTGGCCCAGAAGGGAATCAGTGCAAATGGAAAAAAAAAAAAAAAAAAAGATTGCCAGAGATTCCGTTCACTTGGAATATCTTACCTCCCTCCTGTAGTGCCTGGGCTTGCTTGGGTTGCTTAACACAGCGTTTTCTTTTGCCTCCCCTCTCATTTTATTTATTTATTTTTGAGAAAACTCTGTGAGGCTTAACCTAAAAGTATCCATGAATTATACATGGTTGGTATGGAATCTACGATTGGAAAGAGAAGACTAGCTTTGAGCTGCATGCACAGAGTCCTTTCTGGCATTAGGACCACCCATGCGCCATTTGCCCATCAACAAGTGAATGATAGATAAATGTGTTTCTCTATTCAAAATAATACAATTTAGTAATAAAAAGGTTTAAACTACTGATATATGCGGAAACAACAAGGATGAAACTCAAAAGCATATTAAACTGAGCCAAAGAAATTAGACACAAAGGAATACATACTGTCTGGTTCTATTCATCTGCAACTCTAGAAGCAGCAAAATTAATCTGCCATAACAGAAAGCAGATTGAAACTAGGAAGTAAGGATTGATTCAAAGGGCCATGAAAGAACTTTTGGGGTTTCAGGAAACATTTTATATTGTGACGGTAGTATGTTTACATGGGTGCATACATTTGTCAAAATTCATTAAAACATACTCTTAAAATAAGATGCATTTTTTGTATATCCATTACCCTTTAATAAAGTTAATTTTTAAAACATGAAAAAATAAATAAATAAATAAAAATTTAATTCCATGTATATAGACCTGTGAAGAAAAAATAACTTACAAATGCCAGAAAAATAACTGAGTACTTTAAATTATAAATGATGATTCTTTCTAACATGCTAGATACCTTTTTAAAAAAATTGTTACTTAGAAGGGCAATGGTAAGAATCAGTTTTTGATAATCAATTTCAATTTAATGATGTCAATTCTAGTTAAGTTTACAAATTCAATTTTGTTACCTTGTTAACAAATCTTGCAATTTAGAATTACTGAATTTAATGAACTTGTGTATTTTACTTAAGAGTTTGAAAATGAATAATTCTTTTAAAATAGCTAGATGTTTTTTACAAGATAATCTATGAATGAACTGTTATGACCTGATTGAAAATAAGTGGCGCGATTAATAATACCTAAGGTGGTACAAAATAGTTTAATATTGTCCATTTTTTAGCATTTTTGGATTTAGTGTGCATGATTTTAACTAGCCAAAATTGAACTGAAGAGATAATGTAGTAATTTGTTACCTTATGAAGACAAAAAAAATTTTTTTTTTTGAAAGGGAAATTCTTAAACTTGGGCTGCCATAAATTACTGAAGACTTAAAAAAAAAAAAGATTTTGATTTGAGGGGCCTCCCTGGTGGTGCAAGTGGTTAAGCACAGTACTATGAAGCAATCCTCAGCCATCACAGCATGAGTTTGATCCCCGGCCAGCCAGGGAGCAATCCACATGGCACAGCAGACCTCTCCTGACTCTCCTGCTGCTCCCCTCAGCAGTGTATTTCAGTCAATCTGCCTGTTCTGTTCCCCACTCTGTCTCTGGTGAATCCTCTTACCCGCCACACCTCTGGCCTGGGTACCCTGTACCCCAGCTCTTGTATGCATACATAAATAAATCTTTAAAAAAAATTTGATTTGATGGATGACACGGAAATCCTACAGAAAAGCACGATGATTTGCTCTAAAGTCATGTGGGGTAAAATCCTTGCTATGGCCTCCATCAGTGGCCACTGCATACAATTTAAAGTTGTACATATACAGCTATCCCCAAAGCCAAGCAAAGCTCTGGCTGGTGCTTCCCCACCTAGTCTAGAGTGTTGATTGAAGCCTGAAGAGAAAATGAAGGGAAGGAGCAAAGGAAAATTGACAGCCAAAGAGCACTCCCTCTTTACTTACCTAAGTTCTTTATCCAAGGTATTGAAACACTCGTTTTACATGCCACCCCTCATCCCAGCCTCCGTTATATAAAAGTGATCTGGAAGAGAATAAAGATTTTATTAGTATCAGTTGAAATTTCCATCACCCAGGCATTTCTGTTCATGACTTTATGATTCATTGAATAAAGGGTCTTCCACCTGGTGATGATGGAGGGATATTGTTATGATTTATTGTTTTTTGGCCTAGACACCTGGTCTCACATTCACTGAATCCCAAATAGTGGCACAAAGAAAATACGGTTACCTCAACCTCTGAGACATTGTAAGACAGACATGATATATCTGCATAGGAGGAAATGAACGGAATGACCAATTCTAACATCAAAATTCCTCTTGATGTTAGAAAAGGGTTCTTCCTTCATCAAAGTCCTACTGATAACTCTTTCCCTTAGAGTGCACATGGTGTCCACAATGGAAGAACAGCCAACCTTTCACTTAAAATTGTGCTAATTCCTTGCTAAAAGGAATCCCATAACTGCCAATCAATGTAATTTCAGATATTTGGGTGATTCTCATCAAAACTCGATCTTGGAGTTACAACACATCAAGTGAACAGCCCCTGATCTTTTGCAGAATCTCAGGTTCACTTTGGCCCCTGATGAGTTAGTATGTGCACTAGGAATATACATGTTTAGGTAATTTACTTATGAAAACATTAAAAGCCTTCGAGTCTTGGACATCTGCAGAGAAAGCACAGCAATCCAGTGACTCCTGACTTGAGCTTATCAGATGATATGTGCAGAGGCCTCATCACCAGCCGTGTGCGGGAAGCTACACTTTGTAGGTGTTTACAGCAGTTTAAGGTTCTCTCTGCCGATCTGTGTCAACATCAGACTGTGGGGGGCAACCAGCCAGCTTAGTAGGCCAAACACAAGAATAGCAATGGGCAAAAACCCTTATTTCATTAAAGATTGTATCTTTTGCTATTTTTTTTTTCATTTTTTTAAAACATCAGGAACAAAGCAGAGAAAAAGTCTCCCCTTAGACATTTGATCTACTAAAATGGCAATCAGCAGCTCAGAGACACTCACTTTATGTAAGCACTACAGGGGTGGTCAGTCCACCTGAACTCCATGGGTCTCTAGAGAATGGGATCCCTACTTTTTGCCAAACAAAAAGTAGGATTTATATATATATAAACCATATATATATATATTTTTTTTTTTTTTTTGCCACAGTGCTCTAGGAATGAAGCTTGTCATCTGATTCCAGTTGTTGGACTGGTTTTGCGGGGTGTGTGTGGGTTAACAGAACACCTCATGGAATGTATGTATGTTGTGTGTGCACACACATGTGTACGTACAAGCCACGTGTGCCCTGATTTTATCTAAATTGCAGCAAGAGTGACACAATAGCCCCATATAATTGCTCTCTGTCTGGAATCTGTGAGTCTGGGTTTAACACTGAAAAAAGAAAACAAGTTTTTTTGGTAATTTTAAAAAATCATCATTTCAGAAGTGCATTTGAATATGCTGGCTGATTTTCTAGGGCCATATCACCCAGGATGCACCTGATCTCCTCTGAATGTGCTGGTGGGTGACAAGGGAAAGTGTGTAACTGAAATGTCTCCCCTCCGGTACCCAGACTGTGACCCAGCACTGCATAAGAGTGCTGAGTCTCTGCTTGAATGTTGCAAACCTGAAAACAGCTGGTTTGTGGGTGATTCATTCTCTTGACCATCCAACTTTTATCTTTCCTGGCACTTCTCCATTTTAAAGATTTAATCACTTGCTAACAAGATCTTTTGTATAAATGGTATATCCCTAAGGACAAGGCTTCAGGCTGATCATACTGCTAAATTTCACATCTCTACACTAGCCCTAAAAATCTCAATAATTTTAATGTCTGCTCACTTTACACTCTGAGAAGGGTGAATACAAAAATAAGTAATTTGGCATCACAAGTGTGGTTTTCGTATGTCCATACCCAGGATAGCAAATTCACTCATGCTAAGCTGAGATGCTTAATGAAAAAAGCTACTTATTTGCCATAACTCATCTAAACTTTCTCAGGAATCTATCATCACCCACACTCTCCTCCCACACACACCCACTCCACTAAGTTGTTGGGAAAGAAAAACGCTGCCATGCCAAGTTTCAGAGTGAGAGCCTCTCCTATTGAAGTCGTCGCTTTCTCTAGCTAAGCTTCTCGAAGATAAATGCTGTCTTCTGGGTTTCCATCCCCTCTTTCCCTCCTCCTCGAGATTTTGCCACTGTATGGGGAGGCCCCTGTGTCATCATGGCGGCAGGAAGACAATGGATCAGATTCAGAGACTCTGAATCAGATCAGAGACTCTGGGGACATCTGGTGTCAGAGGATTTCAGGCTGATTGTCTACAGTTTATATGGTTGCAGGCCTCGGCGCAAAGGTCCATGCTCCATTGCATCTTCATTCTAACACTAGACCTCCACTAGCTCATAGTCTGACCCAACATGCTCCCCGCCCCCTCCCACAGAAGACTGTGGGAACTTCTCATCCCATAGACATGGTGTGGTGAGAAGTGGTGTCGCCGCAGGCACACCATGCGTCATCCCGAGCACCAGAAGGCCCTTTCCAAAAGGGTGGAGTATCCAGACTGTCGTGGATGTAGACAAATTCTCCTGCTCTTGAGTCTCCTATTCATTTCTGGTCATCTATAGCACACCTCCAGATCTGTTCACCCTACTCTTCACCCCCCAATATTGATTCACTCATTGAACCCTTAGAGTAATTATCACTTTCTATGACTTCCCTGAATAACAGTACATTTTCCACTTTGTTCTCTCTTAATTGACTGGGATGCAAGTGAGGTGGTTAGAGCTGGAGCAGCTATCTTGGGCCATGAGGTAGCTATGTGATGGCACATCTTTGAATTGCCCTTTTCCAGGCAACCACAGGAATGAGAAACACATATTTATCTTGTTTTAACCCCCACTTAGACTTCCTGTTACTCAGAATCAAGCCTAATTCTGACACATCTCTTCTGTTTCTCTCCTCCCTCCCACACTCTGAGTTAAAATGGGGGAGTTTCGTCTTCCTCTTCCTGAGTTTCAAGTACATCCCTTCTTGAGGAGCTTAGCTGCCTGGTTCAAGAAATGGAGTCTTCCTCTGAAGAAATTGATGATCCTGGGGCCTCCCTGGTGGCGCAGGGGGTTGAGCACCACACTTTGAAGCAATCCAAAGCCTCTGCAGCACGAGTTCGATCCCCGGCCAGCCAGGGAGCTACCCACATGGCACAGCAGACCTCTCCTGTCTCGCCCACTGCTCCCCTCAGCAGTGTATTTCCCTCAGTCTGCCTGTTTTGTTCCCCACTCTGTCTCTCACCCCCCGCATCTCTGGCCTGTGCCCCAGCTCTTGTATGCATAAATAAATAAATCTTAAAAAAAAAAAAAAAGAAAGAAATAGGTGATCCTGTCTTCCAAGCCTGAATCCAAATGGGCTGGTAAGAATTTAAGTGAATTTTGAATTTTTCTCAATCAAGGCCAACTTGCCATAATCTCAACTTGCCATAATCTCAAATTCTTCCACCTGATGTTAAAAGCTGAATATTGTTTCCTCTTTCTTTTTGTAGTCCCTTTAGAGTAATCTTAATCCTCCCTGAGGTAAATAAATACTTCAGATAAGATGGTGGGGCTGGTTGTGGGGAGGGAAGTGGGGGGTCACCTGCTAGGCAGGGGAAAGAAAGAACAGGGTAAATCAAAGAAATATCATCACAATTTAAATAGGCATGTGTGGGTGCACACATGTCCACATACTCATAAACATGTCTGTGGGAATATGCATCATGCACATGTGTGATTATATATATTATGTCATATAATATAATTAATATGAGCACACATGTTCATATACCTATGCAAATACATATATGTGTGTATACACATGTATGCACATGCATATTTAATTATATGACAAGGCATATATAATTCTGCCCACATTAAATTATTTCATATAACTAAGTAATCCTGCTCCACCAACCTATTACAGAATTTCCACGCAATTTTTTTCTTTTTTGATTTAAAAAGAAAGAATCATTGTTCCACTTTAGATGATGGTCAGAATCAATAATAGGGGAGAAGGTGAAGCAGAGGGGGAGGGCTGAAGAGAAGAGCCTGGAGGGAGGCAGGGCACCCCTGAGATCCCCAGGACCCCTGACTCCAGGGCTCACCACCCTCACCCTGCAGACTGTAGTCCTCATGATGGTTTTCATCTCTCCCCCTGCAGCACTTATCATCTTATGAAAAAAACAAAATTTCTCATCATAAAGATGTTTTTAATATATATTAAAAGAGAAAAAATAAGGGGAGAAATCATAAACCTGGTTGAGATAAATCATAAATTCTGTGAATAAGCCAACAGTCACCCACATTTAAGTTTTAGGGAAACTCCTTATACTTATTTAATTAGTCAAGGCCAAAATGTTTCCTTCCTCTCCTCTTAAGCTTTGGAATAAAGCGATTCTAAATTTAAACGTACACCGAATCACATAAATTCTCCATCTGGAGCCCGATTCTGATAATATGTACTCTGGGATCAATCTCCCTCTCTGTCTTTACTTTATGTGAATTTACAAATGCATAAAACCTTCTGCTGGCCCTTCTAGTGGAGAGGATTCCCATGAGCAAGCAAGGACCATCAGTGTCTTTAGAGTCACACCTGGGCCTCCCCTGGTGGCGCAGGCAGTTGAGCGCAGAGCTGTGAAGCTGTCAGCAGCCTCTGCAGCACTGGATTGATACCGGCTGACCAGCGAGGGTCCCACATGGGGTGGCAGACCTCTCCTGTCTCGCCCGCTGCTCCCCTCAGCAGTGTATTTCAGTCAGTCTGCCTGTTCTGTTCCCCACTCTGGCTCTGGTGAATCCTCTCACCCCCCGCCCCCACCAACACACACACCTCTGGCCTGCACCCTAGTTCTTGTATACATAAATGAATCTTTTTTAGAAAGAGAGAGGGAGAGAGAGAGGGAGGAAGGAAGGACAATCAATTCCTGATGACTGGATTCTACAGTGAATTCAACCTTGAAGGACTTTTGAAATGGGACTGAGTTAGCACTTTGTGAAGA